CTAGGCAGGTGCTCTACCACTTGCATGCCCCCAGCCCTTTGTTTTTGAGATACGTTCTTGCTAACTTTGCCCAGGCTGGACTCAAATTTTCCATCCTCCTGCCTCTTCCTCCTGAGTAGCTGAGATTACAACCGTGCTTGGTTTACCCACACCTTCTGACCACGATCTGACCCTACCCACCCAAGACTCAGCAACCCCTTTGGAGGCCCAGGGAAGTGAACTTAGGGCGGCCAGTTTTCCTAAACTAAGTAGGGCAGCCCCTGTAGGTGAGAGGGGCCAATTTCTGACTCTTCCCCTACTCACTCATTCACTCCTTCATTTCTTCCTACATTCATTCAGAAAACTAGATGGGGGGAGGCTGCCCTTGGGAGCTGGAGATGGGCAATTCAGTAAGTTAACAAAGGGTGACATAGTTTAGAAGTAGAGCAAAGGAGAGGTGGAGCGCTACTTTAGAAGGCACTGGGAAGGAAGGGCTCTGGGACAAGTAAACTGAGACGTGAAGCCAGCCAGGTGAAGAGTGGCAGGGGGAGAGGAGGGTCCCGGGCCAAGGGAACAGCAAGCAGAGGCTGGTCACATCATCCCTCCATCTGCCCGACCCTTCCTGTGTGACTCATGCAGCTGCCTGAGGGATTTCATGTCTATTTTATCTCCTGCACTGGGATGTAACCCTCCTGCAGGCAGGCCCCGGGGGCTGCTTGGTGCACCACTACTTCCTCCATGACCCAGAGCAGTGCCTGGTACAGACCAGCACATTCTGTGAACAGACAGGTGAAAAGAATATGCAGGTGCTGTGCTCAATCACTATACCTGTTACCTGTTACCTGGCTTAAGCTCCACAACCAGAGGGTTGATTAATTGGGTCGGTTTTTTAGATAAAGAAACTAAGGCTCAGAGAGGTGATGTTGCTTGCCCGATATTGCACAGCCCACAAGTGGTAGAACTGGGATCTCAACTCAGTTCCAGCTGGGCCTTTCTTGGGGTTCACTGGCCAGACTCTCAGTCTCCAGGATCAGGAAAGGGGCAGCAGAGGACAAGACCCCCAATTCCCCCTCCAAAGGAAGCAGGTCCCAGAGGGACAGTACTGTGACCGGCTCCATAAATAACCCAGGTCCCTGGGCCCTGCTGGCGGTTTAGCAGCGAGAGTGTGCGTGTAATACAAATAGCACTAATCCCCTGTCAGTTAGGCTGGATATCAGAGGAGACAAGCTTCCGAGCAAGCGGGGAGGCCTAATTGAATCGAATTGAAAAGGCGGAATGGGCGGCCAGCAGCAGAGGGGGACAGGCGGGGGCAGGCGGCCTGACGCAGCTGGCTGGGCCTCCTTGGCCTGGGTCGGGCTGCATTCCAGCCCCACTGCGGGGAGTCACGCTAGGGGGTCACCGTGGGGGGACCCTAGCCAGGGTGCCCCGCCCCCTTGGGCCTCCCCTTTATCTGCTGGCTCTGCCATTTTCTCTCCCTGGCTGACCCTTTTCCTGTTCCTTCTGTTATCTCGAATAATGTCACTGCCTCTTTAGAATCTATTCATCAGAGCAGAAAGAAGCCAATGCTGACGCTGATAAAAAAAAAAAAATGCCATCTGTGCCTCCCAGGGACAAGCTCTGCACCCGACCGCTGGCGCCCCTGCCACCAACCACCCCGCCTGCCATTTCACGGCACCAAGGACACTCATAATCAGACTCTGCGGGCGGGTCCTCCTATGGGGTACCCCCATCCTGTCCTCCCCACTGCCCATCTCACCCCAGGGATGATTTCAGTTTGCAGCCCAGCTTGACTCGGCCATTTTTTAAAAATTGGTTTTTCTGTATTGCTGAACAGCATTTAAAAACTAAATTTTACCAAAGTGTCCAGATTTCTGAGTTCTCTTAAAAAGTATACAGAGGGCTGGGGTTGTGGCTCAGTGGTGCAGTGCTTGCTTTGCATGTGGGAGGGCCTGGGTTCCATCCCCACCCAAAACAAATTAGAGAGACAAGCTTGGACAGTGGGGCCACACGCCCCCGACCCTGCACACACAGGGCGACAGTTGGCTGGAGCTGGAGCAAACAGCCTGCTTCATCCTTCCCTAGCCTGCCTTGTTTGTAGCACTGTCTGGCCCCTGAAGATTTGTGAACTGGAAACTCAAGCTTTGGAGTAGTGTGGGGTGCACAGAAAATAAGACCAGACCACAGGCCTTGCGCTGGAAAGAACATCCTCAGAAACAGGAGACCAAGGACCAGAGAGGGGAGCTACTCCTCTTATCACACAGCAGTCAAAAACCTCCGGATCCCAAGGTTTCTGGATGTTCTCAGTCACAGAAATCAGGTGGAGATGGAAGTTCTGATCCTGGCCTTGATGTCGCCACCCCACCCCCCCGCCAGCACCATCACCACGACTGCTGCCTTCAGCCTCCTTGGAGATGACTATCAGAGTTCACTGAAGGCATGGGTTGGGGAACTGGCATCTTACAGGCCAGCAAGGTCACAGTAATGGCCCCTTTGCCCTTTCTCCTTGGTCAAGCCTGCCCCAGCTCCACACAGTGCCTGAGGTGTTCAGAAGCTAGGGCTGAGGTCCCAGCTTGCTGCAAACATGTCGTGTGGCCATGGACAGGACATATCCTAGCTCTGTGCCTTAGTTTCTCCATCTGCAGAGTATGAATACTCGTGGTTCTCTATCAGGGAGTGTTTTTGATGGCCAGACAACTCTTCTCAAACAGCGGAGTTGCCTCTCTGAGGCAGATGGCAAGAGATGGTAACCTGGGGTAAGCAAGAGGCATCTGATGTCCGCCACGGATGAGGCCGGCACGTTTGCAGAAGGCCCCCACCCAGTGAAGGTCAATAGGCCTAGAGCAGATGTGTTGTCTCGACAGCAGACGGGAGGTGCACGGGTCCAGGGGAGCCTCTTCCTCTAAGGTCATGTCCTCCAACTGCCAGACTGGGACAAAGGCAGCCAAGGCAGCAAGGAAGAGCATTGACCTTGGCAGCCAGATATCTGTCTCAGGGCCTCACTTCTGCACCTGACGACTATGTGACTTGGAGCAGGGCCTTCCTCTCTGGGCCTCCGTTTTCTCATAGGTAAAGTGGGGCTCACTCGCTTTCCTCATGGGCTTACTCTGGGTGTAGGTGGAGGGAACTGACGGGAAAGCACCCAGAACCAGGGGCCAGCATGCCCACGAGGACAGGAGCAACGCTGGCCAGTTCCCTGGCTTCCCTGAGGTCAGCCTGGTTCCCTGAGCATGGGAGGCATACAGTCAAAGTTTGCTGAACGAGCAGTGCCCATGAACTAGGGGCCAGATCCTGAAGTCTTTGACAGTTGAGGGGCTGACAGAGTCTTTCTCTAGGTCTAGGCCAGATGCACCCCAGAACAGCCTGGGTGCCCGTGAGCACTTGGTGAACTGTGCAAAGGCCGCAGAAAGGGTGTTCTCCTTAGATTTAAAACACTCTTGAACAGTCCCACTTACTGTGTTTTGTTGTCTGTTGTTCTTTCTGGCAGTACTGGGGTTTGAACTCAGTGTCCCATACTTGCTAAGCAGATGCTCTACCACTTGAGCTCTTTGCTTTAGCTGTTTTCTAGATAGGGTCTTGTGCTTTTGCCCAGGACCAACTTCAGACCACAATCCTCCTATCTCTACCTCCCAAGTAGCTGGGATTATAGGTGTGAGCCACCGTGCCCCATCCTGGGCCATTTTCTCCAACCTTGTTCATCATATTATAGTCTTTCGTGGGGAAAAGTAAGTAAGATGGAAGACTCTGGCTTGACTTGATAGCTGGGTCAGGCCCTGAAGCCCCTGTCCCTAGCACGCACAGCACAGAATAATGGCTCAGACTGCAGGGCCCAGCACGGCATCTCTCACCTGGGAGACAAAGATGGGTCCTAGTTAGAGCCTGCAGCCTGGGAGCTCATCCAGCCAGACCAGTGGGGTTCAGCCCCAGGCAAGTCCCCAGGCCCATCTGAGGGAGTGTCTGTCCATCTGCTTCTCTGATAAATGAGAAGATAACTCAGCCCACAATCCAGGACGCTCGGGAGCCCAAAGCTTGGTACTCAAACTCACTTGTCGGCAAACCCAACCTAGGCGATCTTCACCCTGCTTAGTGGGACTCTGCTGCAGTCAGGGCAGCTGGGGCTGACTCAGATACCACCAGGGAGAAGATCTTTAGGGGCACTGTCCCTAAAACCTGCAACAAACCTTAAATTGCTCCTGGCCTCAGGACTTCTGACAAGGGACTGTGGTCCTGTGACCCATGCCACAGGACTGCCATGGGATTAAATGTGATGGATGATACCTTGAGGGGCTGAGCACACAGCCTGGCATTTTGCATGTGAGGAAACTGAGAGCCCAGGCTGGAGAGGCAGGGGAGGAATCCCTGCTCGTCACACAGGAGTGCCAAAGTGAGGTCCTGAGACAGATCCCTGCACTCAGGCTCTTCCTGTGACACCCCAGTCATGAGAAAACCAAAAGGCAAGAAAGAGGACAAGGCGGATTGGCTGTGTGACCTTAGGCAGGTCTCTTGCCCTCTTTGGACTTGGATCTGTGTGCTCTCCAAGAGTCCTCTTGACTCTGATGCTTTGGGATTCTACTAAGCACTGAAAGTTCCCTTGAGCAACACTGGGACACCTGTATTTGGCTGTTTCGGTTTTGAGAAGTCACAGAGGGCTCATTCAAGCTGGTGCCAGCTTTTCCTTGGAGGAGGGAGGTAGTGTCTCCAGGCCTGGTTCTACACAGACTGCACGTGTTCTTTGGCAGTTTGGTCAACTGTCTGGCTTGTGTTAGCACAGGGCTGAGATGTCCAAGGCAAGGAAGGCTAAGGGCGGGTGAATGAACGAGGGGGATTCATAGGGATGAAGCCCGCCAGCAGATGGCCCGTGTTGGGCACCCAGTATGTGCTCAGTAGAGCTGGTAGCTCTCAGAAACTCCTGAAGTCCAGGGAGAGGGGGTTTGGGTCTGAACGCGCATGAGATAGGGTGTCCTGGAGCAGGCCGGGCCAGGGCCTTAAGTCAGTCATGCAGTGGAGAGGAAAGGTGTGTGCACATGTGCATGTGTTTGTGAGTGTGTGGGAGGGCTGCTGTGTAGATCAGGAGGGAATTTAGGACTGCAACAGCCAGGTGTGTGGTACCAGAATAATTCTGGACATTCAGGGGCGACTGGGGTAAACGATGGCGGCAGGGCATCGGAGATGAAAATACGCTGACACGGAATGGCGATTATAACAAACCCAGCAGGCAGGCAGGCAGGCAGCACTCACAGCACGATCTCATTTTATTGAAGGGCACAGGCGCGCACGCACACGTGGGAAAAGGTGGAGGCTGTTAACTGGGGCAACCTCTAAGTGGCGAAAACTCAGTGCTCCGATTTGATTTCTGTTCACCTGCATTTTCTTTTTTACATTGTTTATCTGCTGCTTTTGTAACAAAATGTTTCTAACGTGAAAACTAAAGACTGGGCTCTGGAGCCAAGGACTAGGCCTCAAGGCAGCTCTGCCCCTTCCCGGCAGGGGCAAGTGCTAAGAGGCAGCCAAGGATCAGGAAGGGAGTGGGGAGCCTGCAGGGTGCTGGCCACAGAGCAAGGCACCTCTCCTAGGAGAAGGAGACCGGAGTCTGAGAGGCAGGACTGCGGGGCCCAAGCACACTGCGTTGTCAGTGCCAGACCGACCATGCCTAGCTGGTGCCCATGCCAAATGCACTGGCTGCTGGTGGGCCATGGACAATGTTCTCGGGGGAGCAAAGGACCTCTCACCGGGAAACAGAACCCGGGCGCAGCCATGGCAACTCCTGCCTGATGCGATCACAGTATTTACAGCCTGTCTGCCAACGTGAGACCCCCGCCGGAACCCGGGACGTTAGCTGAGGGTGGCTGTGAACCTCAGTCAGCTGCAGAGGCAAGAGCGGCTCCACCAGCTGACTTGGGAGCCATTCTCTGGCTGGCAAAGGGTACGCAGGGCTGCGTGCTGGCTCCGTGCAGAGAAGCTGGGAGGGGACAAAGCCAGCTGGCACTAGCAGTTTCTCCATAGAGACCGAGGGGGTCTTAACCTCTGGGCTTGGGCCAGGAAGTAGTACACCTTTAACCAGCATGGCACACCATTCTAAGGTTTCTAGGTTGAGAAACACCTTACTGCCTTATCATCTTTCAGCATAAGACAGTTGACAGTAGTGAGCATTTATTGAGTACTTACTGCATGCCAGGCACAGCGCTGAGGGTTTTATGTGCATCTTCACATTTGATCTTCATGAAGTCTTATAAAAAGGGCATTCTTCTCACCCTTGAGATGAGGAGACACCTCTGAAAGTGAAGTGCCTTGCCCACGAGTCTGAGGCCGGTGGGGGGAGGCAAACCGGAAGTAGAGCCTGGGCAAAGCTAAGCGTGCAGTCACTGTGCTGGCATGCAGAGGCCTTGGGGGTCCTCCTGTTTTTTGTCCTCAGTCCTGACTGCACATTAGAAATACCCGATCTTTTAAAAAGCTCCCAGTGATGGAATCCCGCCAAGACCAGCTAACCAGAATATCCGGGCTGGGGCAGCATTCCTGGGTGTCTCCTGGAGGCTCCCGGGGTGACCGAGGTACAGCTGAGTGAGACTACTGTAGTGGACAACGAGAAGGGGCGGTGGCTACAAAAAAGGGGCGTGGCCATGGATGGTGACCTGTGGTGGTGGCTAAGAGGCTGTTTCCCTGGGGCCACTGTATCAGGTCAGCCTCTGTTCCAAATTGACATCCTATCCCCGGGGACTGGAGTCTCAGCCTCTGGACACTGTCCCCCTTTCCAGTGCTACAGCTACTGTGGGCACTGAAGGGAGGTCAGTGAGACTCCCAATATTCCCCCCACCCTTTACAGGCTGGAACCCTATCAACCAGTATCCTCACCAACTACTGTGCCCCTCAGTCCCAGCTGCTCATTCAGATCATGGGGGGAAAGACAGATCCAGGCCCCATGACCCAGTCCATCCAAACCCAGAGGAAGTAATGAGCCTGAGTTTGGTGAGCAACTAGAATCACAATAAGCTTGTGCACAGAACAGCACCAGGCAGAAGATCAAAGGCAGACTGTGGAGTCAGACTGTCTGAGTTTGAATCCTGCCTCTGATGCTTAGTAGCTGTGTGACCTTGGACAAGTTACTCTACCTCTCTGAGCTTCAGTTTCCAGATCTGTACAATGGGGACTAGATCAGCGATTAGGCCCTAACATTGGGCACAGATTAAAAGAGATGATATTGTCCAGTGCTTAGAACAGTGCCTGGCCTAGGAGAAGTGCTCGGTGCTACTACTAGTTTTACTTGTGTATAATTTGTGTTTTGAAGGGCAGGAGCAGGGAACCCCTAACAGTGATGCTTGGCCCAGTGTCCCTCCCGTCGCCCTCCTGTTCCTGGCAGTGGAGCTCAGGCCCTTCTCTCAGCCAGCTCCCACTCACCTGCCTCAGGAGGATGCTGGGAAAGGCATCAGCTGCCCCCTAGTGGCCAAGGGCAGACACACACTGAGCCACTGGAACCACCTTTCCACCAGGCCTCCTGAGACTGGCTCTGGAGGACAGCACACTAGTTATAAGGGTCTCTCACGGATTCTTCAGCTGCAGAAGGAGCCATGCTGATTGGGAATATAAGGTTCAACAGCTCCAGGCAAGAGCCAGACACTGGGGCCACGAACGTGGAGAACATTCTTCTTGGAGAACGTTCAGAAGCTGCAGCTCTTTGTCCCCAGGGCTCACAAAGCTTTGTGCATTGCTGGGTGCTCCTCATTCCAGGAGCCGTGCCTGGGAACCCGAAAGCTGTCCCCATCCCTGCCCTGCCAGGGCCACCTGGGAAAACCCACTCTATCCCCAAGACACACATAAAGGAGGAACCCAAAACCTTCATTTCCTTCTGCTCCTGAAGAACTCCACTAAGGAAGTGGCTGGAAAAAGAACAGGACGGAGGGAGGGTGGCAGGGCAGCATTTCCCAATCCTCATCTTTCTGGACAGCATAAGGCTTTGTTACACAACATTTTATTCCCCCCTTTGCCATCTTTCCCAAAACCCTTAGGCACACGTGGGAAGACAGCATGCCGATCTGCCTTCACTCAGCCAAGTCTCACTGGGTCCAAGGGCTGATGACGGAGATGCTGCCCAGACAGTCCCTAGGAGCCCAGCTCACTGTTGAAGAGGGCAGACAGTGCTGAGTGACTCCAATAGGAGACAGGGGGACAGGGTCAGCCCACCAGGGTCAGGATGGCTTCCTGAAGGTGGGAGGGCCTGGGCAGTGGGAAGGGGTGGAGTGAGAAGGAAGGCACACTGCTTCAGACCAGGCTCCAACCTCATGTCCCCACTTCCCTCCCTGGTGCCAGGCAGTCCACAGGTGAAGGGCAGGCCCAGGCAGATGGACCCATGAGAACTCCAGGAAGTGGAGGGAGACTTTCCCACCTCTGCCTCAGGTCTGAAGTGTCAGGGGCCCCGCTCTGCCCCACTGCCTGGCTGGCTCCAAAGAAGGCAGAGGGAGAGCCAATGTGCCTGGGTGGCCTGGCCAAAGAAGGCAGAGGGGCTGAAGACCTGGGTAGGTCCTGACCAAGATCGGGAGATGAGCAGCTGTGGGCCCCTAGAATAATCCAGAAAGGGACTTCTTGGTGGAATGGCAGTGTGGCTCCTGTCAGAGGCCGCCCAGTCTTTGCTGGACGGGACCATCCAAGGAGGTGGCTGAGTGGGCAGAGACCCCAGAGACGCCAATGCTGGTTTCCCAGCAGTCGAACCCACAGCCAGTCAGGGCCTGCTTGGCGGCCTCCAGCTTAGCCTGCTCCAGACCTGGGGGAAGGAAGGCCATCATCCTGACACCTGTGGCTCCCCTGGAGAATGCTCACACCACTTAGGGAAAAGGCCCAGGGACCTGGCCTTCCTGCCATGCTGTCCTGGCTGTGAATCCACAAGTGCCAAATAGGCCTATGGTTCTAAAGGCTCCCAGAAGCCTCCACAAGCCCCACACCAGTCCCAGGGTGCATAGTGCCACTTAAAAACACGGTTACCTGCACCTGGCCTCCCCAGATATTGGCCATGTGGCTTTAGACAAGTGACTTCCCCTCTCTGGGCCTCTCTCCTCACCTGGGAATAGGACTAATGATGGCAACCCCTGCAGAGCCACTGGTATGGGGGGGCGGTGAGTGCCCAGCACAGTACTTAGTCCACTGGGCATGCTCCCTGAGTGTCCACTCTCACTAATGTCACTAGCCTGTGACCAGGCACCCACAGTCAGGACCTGCTGGCATGGAGTGAGGCCAGGAGTCACCAATGACGATGAGGTGGGCCTGGGAGCCCCTCTCCTGGAGGGGTGGAAACAGGAGGGAGGAGAAGACAGAGAGCAAGGACACTGAGAGGGGTGCAGAGCACAGAGGGGTACAGAGGCAGGTGGAACCACTGAGCACCCACTGTATACCCACAGTAGGAATGCCCAGGGCAGACAACCTGTGGGCAGTTCTGTACCAGCAGGAGCAACTCTCAGCCCAGGCACAGGGCTGGGCTCCCAACTTAAGGAGAAAGTTGGGCTTTCTCTTTCCCCGAAGCCCAACAAGAAAGTGTCTCATTGGCAGAAAGATCAGCTCATCCCCATCTCACACTGCATGAGGGCAGCGGTGAGGCTGACATGGATAGTGAGCCCTGCCCTGGTTGTTTCTCAAGCTCGTGGGGAGACTGGAAGGCCAGTACAGGCTATGAACAGACACCATGACCAGATCCCTGACTGGAGGTCAGCCCTGAGCCAGGCTGTTCAAATGCATTTTTCTCCTGAATCTGTACAACAATCTTGCAAGCTTGTTTTCCAAAGAGAAAACAAAAGCCCAGAGAGGTTAATTAACTTGTCCAAGGCCACAGAGCGGAGCTGGGACTTGCTTACAGAGCTCCTCCTCCTCCCCAGGGAATTCTCCATGTACACCCTCTTTCTGAGTCCTGGCTGACTACCAGCCCAAGCCCCAGGGTACCTGGCTTCAGAAGAGTAATGCCACAGCCTCCACCGCCTGCGCCGGTAAGCTTGCTATGCAGTCCGTGTGCTGCTGTCACCTGGCAGAGCTGGTCCAGGGAGGCATGGCCCACGCCGAGGGCATTCAGGTGGTGCTGGTTCATGTCGATGAGCTCCTGGGGAAGGTGCCGTCCATTCCTGCTTGGCCTGCCTGGGGCCGAGGTCCTCTGACCCCTCCATCCACCTGGCAGTCATTGATGCAGGAAGGCTCATGCCTTAGCCACTGAGTATACTGTCCCTCTCCTTCCTGCAGGAGTTGCCATGGGGCTGGGACAGAGTTGAGTTCACCCTCTGCCATGCTGGCCAGTACTTACATTGGCCAACAAGCCTTTGGCCCTCATGATTGGTCAGGGATGCTCACGTGACCCCAGATGGCCAAGCAGGGTCCTCTGCCTCTTTCCACTGGAGCTATTAAAACTAGTTAACTGCAGACACAGGCTGCCAGGATTGTCCACCCAGCCACGTGGTCAGAGATTACATGACAGACATTCCCAATGGCTGGATCAAGCTATGCCTGAGCCACTACCTCCGATCTCCTCAATTAGACAATAAATTCCTTTTCTGCTAGAGCCTGGTGGGGATGGATTTCTGTCACTTGCAAGAAATAAAAGCCTCAAATAGTATGCCACCCTACAGCTGCCTTGACTGCTCTTCAGAATAAGAACAAGGCCATAGCTCCAGCAAGGCTGTGAGTGGGGAAATAGCTAAATATTTGTCTAGGCTTCTTCAATCATGTGTAATAAAATTCCTGCTCTCCAAGGACCAACAAGGCGCACGTGGATGAAATAATAAAACTGACAGCTGCCATTGCCCAGTGTCCACATTTGCCTTCATGGACCAAACACAGCATTCTAGGCACTGTATTGGATGCTGGGGCTCCAGGATGGGCTCCTGGCAGCCTCCCTGCCCTCGGGAAGTTAAGGATTGTGGTCTGGGGAGTCAGGCAGCCTGGGCTTGAGGCTCAGCTCTGCCCCTTCTTGTTCTGAGTCCCCTTGGAAACAGGGATGGTAAGAGTAGGTCTGCCTCACTAGTTGTGAGGCTTTTGTGCAACATCTGTTGCAAGCTAACTGGTCTGTAAACAGTGCTATTGTGTTTTATGGGTTTTTACCATCATCTCCATTTTACAAAGGGATAAACTGAGGCTCAGAGAAAAATGTGCCTTGCCTACAGTCACTGAGCCGAGTCAGTGTAGGCTCCTGTCTACTCTGCCTACGAGCGCCCTCAGCATTCCTATTACCACCCACTTCTCACGGGACCCAGAGGAACTGGCAGCTTGCAGCTCACAGTATGAGGCTCTGCTCACTGAGGCTTTTCTGCCAAGGCCCACTAGGTGCTCCCACCTTGTGCCTTGTGCCGGACAGGTTGGTCAGCCCTCCCCTTAGTCTATCCCATACCCCCAGCACTTCTGACAAAGGAACAGCCCCAGGTGCCTCTCCCCAGCCTGTCTGTGAGAGAAGACTTCTGGGGGCCCTTCTCTGTGCCTGAGCGCCAGGTGTCACGTTGCTAAGGCAAGTTCCAGACACCTGTCACATTCTGATCCAAAATCTGTCAAGGATCAGATGACAGGTTGTGACACAGGAGAGCAGCTCGCTGGTTTGAGTGCAAAGCTGTTCAAGAAGTGAGCTGTACATTTCAGCGGCTGCCAGTGCCAAAAATATCCACACCATATAATCAATGTGCTGTTCTCTGGCATTCTCCAGGGCTCAACAGGGTGTGTGTCGGCAGCACTCTATCATTATTAATTTCCAGCTCAGGGGGACTGTGTTCTGCTTTCCATGCGGAAAGGATCGAGAGCCAGGGAGGCAAAGGCTGGAGGATGGTGGCAGATGCCTGGGGAAGGAGGGCAAAAGTGTGGGAATTACACAGAGGCCCTGTGCTTGCCTGGTATATAGTAGGTGTTCAGTAAAGATCTGTTGAGTGAAAGAATAAACAGATCAGGCAGTTTGCCCCTGACTCAGCCACTCACTATCTGGATAACCTAGGAGGAAGCCAGTGTCTCTGGGCCTCAGTTTTCATACCTGCAAAACAGGAGCGACACGCCCACTTCATAGGCAGGCGGCTGGGAGGAGCCAGGGTCAATCACCTGGAAAAGGCTGGTTTTGTAGCAGCTCTGCTCATTCATCACCAGAGCTGCAGACTCAAGTGCCATGGGGACAAGGGCACCAGGAGATGATTGCATCAGGTGACACAGGACAGAGTGGTGAGGACCATGGTGAGGTATACAGTGCCAGACCCTATTGCAGGAACTCTGCCTATACCGCCACACACCTGCTGCTGCCCAGCCATGCCAGCCAAGGGCTGCGAGTAGCCTCGCACTTCAAGGGAGGCAGATGGTTTTAACATCATTCACGTTCACCGGGCAGATGGCCCATAGTGGAATTGTGTCCTCAGCTCACTGAGCTGAAGGCCTACTAGGCTCAGTCTTAGTGCATCACCCGAGGGACCTGGAAGTATCTCGTGACACTCCAGTGAGGTTATCAGCAGATAGCAGAGGTCACAGAGGGCATGTGGGAAACAGCTGCCCAGGAAACACTCACAGCTAGCAGTAAGAGCAGGAAGGCCGGGGCTGGCGGGAATTGCTCCAAGGCTGACAGAAACCCCCTTGTCAGCATTAGCCCAGGGTCTCTGCCCACATGCACAGGGGCACTGCAACCAAGTGAAAAAACCTGCCCATGGAGCATCACGCATGCCAGGCACCTTTCTCAGCTTTAAGATAAACCACACTTGCTCACATGTACTCATACAAACTCCACACCCAGGCCTGGGACTTCTAGGTGTCAGCAGGACCTACCATCTCTGTTTTGGCTCCTGGGAGGTTCTAAGTGCAGTCAGATGGGGGGACACTGCCTGGGCAGCAGTGGGGTGAGCAGGCCCGGTGCCTGCAGACAGGCTTACCTCCAGCACGAGGTACTGCTCCAGGGCTGGGGCCATGGCCATCTCGTCCAGAACACGTTCACACTTTAGGGATATGGCCTCCATGGAGGTCAGGAGGGGGTCCACGATCTCTGGGAACTGCACAGAAAGCAGGCAGGCTGTGAGAACGAGGGCCAGGAGCAGGCAGACCTTGGACAGCTGCCTCAGCAAGGCAGAGGAGGGAGGAGGTATGCGCACCACCCAACCATCTCCTGGGGAAACCTCCTCTTCTTCTAGCCTGGCTTCTGCCCCAAGACCTCACCAGGACATCCTCGCTGCACAGCCATCGTTACCATCGAGCCCAACTTCTGTTGCTTCAGGTGCCCCCATTCTGATTTCTGGGCCCATCCAAATTTCTGGCCAGAGTGTGGATATGGATATCACCTTCTTTTCTGCCCAAACTGCTTCTCCAAGTCTCCCCACAGGAGAGGCACCTACTGCACCCCTCCATCCTAAACCCAGCCAGGAGGGCAACAAGAAGTACCTTAATCAGCCTGTTCCTTACACCAGCCACGAGGGCCTTGGTGCTTCGTGGGACCTTGGTGTTGGTCAGCAGGATCCGAAGAGCTGGGGGCCTGCAGGGAGAACAGCGGAAGTTGTGTCAAGCCAGAGAACAATCTGGGAGTCCACCCTACCCTGGTAGAGAGGAGGAAGTGGAAGCCCAGGGAGGTAACATCACATTGAGGGAGCACACAGCTCATTCATTCATTCATTCATCTTCAACTGGGTACCAACTATGTGCTAAGTACACATGACGGCACTCAGCTTGGCACTGGTGACACGAAGAGGACAAGGTCCTTGAAGGCTTTCCTTGGCATGATGTGTAAGGTGAGAACTGAGGAAGGGTAAGAATTACCCTGGGCAAAGGCAGGAAGGGTGAGCAACCCTGGCAGGAGTGGTGTGTGCAGAGCCTGGAGGTGGCACAGCACAGGCCATTCATGGAACTAGAAGTTCCAAGTGGCTATAGCAAAGAGTGCAGGGAGGGATCAAGTTCAATCGTGTGGACCACTCAAGAGACTGGAGATTTAGAAAGAAAGAAAACCACAGGACCTGGGAGATGCCCACACTGCTAGTGCAGGCACAGGACAGAATCCACGGTCTGAGATGCTTGGGATCTGAAGGGCTTCAGATCTGAGTTTTTTGGATTTTGGAGTATTTTCATAGATGTTACTGGTTGAGTACCTCTCATCAGAAAATCCAAAACTTTTGGAGCATCTGTTGGATGTGGGAGTTCTGGGTTAGGGATGGACAACCTGTAGCACTCACAGGTCACACAGAGAGGGCACGGGAAGCAGGACTGCCAGAGAGGACAGCTCCCAGCAACTGAGCCTGTTCCCACCCCACCTCAGCGGTGCCCACCAGCAGCCTGGACATGAACCCAGCTGTGGTCATAGGGAGCTCACCTGCCCCAGGAAAGGAGCAGAGGTGTCTGGGGAGGCCGCAGTAAGCAGAATCCCAATTCTGACCCTCCCTAAGATCATTATAATCCTTCCTAAAGCCACAATCCCCCATCCTTGTGCTGAGCTGTCGTCATTGGGGGTGCAAGTCATCTTTTTTTTTTTTTTCCTCCACCCTGTCTTTCAGAGAGCTGCAGGCTGGGCACAGAGGGCGGAGAATCTGGATGTGCTCTGGCCTGAGACAGCTGGAGGCACCGAGACCCTTGACACCTTTATTCGTGTGCTCTTCACAGTTCAAGATTGTGAAATGCAATGGAGCTGGAAAAGGCTGCCAGAAATTCGCTTTATCTCACCGCCCATAAGCCCATGAAATTAATATCGATTCTCAGCCTTGGAGGCTGGCACATTTTTTTTAACTTTACAAAAGATACCATTCTATTTGGCTTTTCTCTTCGCTTTAAAGACAATCCGTTGCTCAAAAGGGCAGCGTTCTGGGAGGCTGCATCTTGATCCACTTCACAAACAATGTGCTTTTTTATGAAGAAGCACCACGCGTGGTTTGGGGGAAAGGGCTCCTCTTTAAGCCATCCGTGGGATTAAGGCAGCGTCCAGCCTCCCAGCCTCGTGAAAAACCTGCCATCTGCTCACTATGGTATCCTGCAGCAAGCAGCAAAGGTCAACCTGCTCTGTAACCACCCACAGGGTGGGGGTGCTTGTGCGCACCTTCCTCTTTCTTAGACATGTCCTCTGCTGACAGGCCCGCAGCCAGCCCCACAAAACCTAGGGCTCCCTGGCATCCAGGGACCACCACTTGGGGCTCTGCCCTAGAAGCACTTATGATCTGGGCATGGCTACCCCCACCTCACCTCATCTCCCCTGGTGAACACTCCACTCACTCATCCTGGTCCCCCAGCTGCTGTTTCACATACCAGGCCACTCCTGCCTCAGGATCTTTGCACTCACATTTTTTTTCCTGCCAGACCAGCCCCATCCCCACAGCTACATAACTCTCTCACAGAGATCTCTGCTCTAATGTTACCTCACTAGAGGCCCCTGGGACACCCCATCCGATCAGCTTCATATATATATATATATGGAGGTAAAGTAACTCACCCAAGGGCACCCAGAAATCAAGTGGCTGAGCTCAAACCCAGGCCTGTAGGCCCCAGCAGTTCTGCCTACCCCACTACAGACAGCCAGTGGTCCCCCCTCTATTGTTCATCTCCTGATTCCCCCATATACTGTCCACTTGCAGCTGTCTTGCACCTGCAGGACCCAGCCCAGGGTTCGGGATCTAGCTGGCTCTCAGGAAATCCTGAATGAAGGCAACACTGCCACCTCCTTGCAGGACCACCCACATCTACAGCTGATTCATAATGCCCTCACTCTCATCCATGGCAGCTTCAGGACCTGTTGGCTGCCTGCTCTCTGATCATGACAGCTCTGCCTCTTCCAATGACCGTGCACATCGGGGGGTAGATCCAGGCCCACATGTCTGAGTCCTCCATGACCTCTGCCCCTGCTCCCATGGACACTGAACAATGGGCAAAACCAACTCACTGTGCCCTGAGGCTCCCTGACCACAACCTTATAGGCAGGAAGGAGAAGTGGCTCCACGCTCCTAAGTGCGGCTTCCTTTCCTAGGTGGAGCAGGGGGTGGACCAAAGGCAATTTGCCCGGTAGGGAACAAAGGCCACTGTTCAAGGACATTTTTGACTGTCACAGCTGGGGAGTGCCAGCTGTGAGTAGAGGCCAATGATGCTGCTGAATATCCTATAATGCACAGGACAGCCCTTCCCCTCCACCTGACACATACACACTCACCACACACACACACACACACACACACACATGTACATATGTACACACGCTTGTACACACACACACACACACAGAATGATCCAGCCCCAAAAGTTGAGAGTCCTAGATGCAGAGCTGTGGAAGGGCAGGCTTAGCTCCCAGAAGCCCACAGTCAAGACAGGGACACCCCACAGGACCAGGTGGGGAAGGGGAGGGCTAACTGTGGCATTCCAGGTTGCTAGGCCACTCATGAAGTGACCCAGCTGGTAAGGGCTGTGGGCCAGGACCTATATGCAAAGAAGACCCCATGGGTAAAGAAGGAAAGAGAGTTCTGGGCCCTCCCAGACAGAGAAGGGATACCCTGAGACAACCATCATCCAACCTGGAGTAGCCAAAAAGTTACCTGGCCCCTGTTGGAATGGATTTAACTCCCGCACCTGACCTTTCCAGCCAGGGTGCAAATGAACAGAGGTGCTGAAATTCATCATGTACGTCAGCAACTCCGGTGACTGCACAGGGAGGGATGAAGACACACACCAATGTCCCTACCAATCTAAACTACCCATGGGCCTCCACGAGTGGGCTCCAGTCCAGTTTCACCCTTGTGTCACCAATACAACACCCCTCATTGTCTTGCAGTGACCTTGTGTGCCTGTCCCTCCCTCTACCCCCACCCCCATCTCTATGTTCCTGGACCCCAGGATGTCTTATTGGTGCATAACTCTTAAACGAATGAGCAGCCAGGGTGCTTTCTGGATGGTGAGGGGACAGTTGTGAATGACTTTCCCCTCTAACATCTGGGCAATTTAAAAGCTGGAGACGTGGAGAAAGAAAAAGAGCAGCCAGGTTTTCTTCTCTGCATCCTCTGGGAAGGGGCCCAGGAACACCGGCCCCATGTGTGACTTCACAAAGGCACAGTGCTCTCCCTGGATGCGTGGACATGGCCAAGCTGCTCAGAATCACCTCTTTATGGACGATATCTTCCCTTGCTGGTAACGCAGTGCTCCTCCTAAAGACAACGGTGAGCAGTCAGAGCTGGACAGAAGCAACATGCTGACCTTCTGGGAGAGATGCTGGACTTTGTATTGGGGTCACTGTTTGGCCTCATCAGGGAACAGGCTAAACACCATTACTGTTCATTCCAGCTTCAGCTGCAAAAGGATCCAAGGTACAAGGCCCTCCAGTAATGGTAGGAAGCTCTTTCCAGGTTGGGTTCATGGGTCCTCCCTATCCTCCTGGCTATCCAGCTTCACTCTACCAGGCTGTGTGGTGAGGTTGGCATCCTCTCCAGAAGGGAGGCCACTCATGGGGTTTGCAAACTCCACAGTAACATTCACAGCTGGGCCATGCAGACCCCCAGGATGCTCTCTGAGGGAAGGGGTCACAGGGGATGAGGCAGAGCCCTGAGATCTCCCACTTCCCCACAAACAGAAACATGCTCTTTTCCTCAGAATCCATTGGTTCTACTCATCCCAAGCCAACAGAGCTGGGCAGCTACCCAAGAAATAAAACTTTTGAAAATAAAAATAAAGAGAGCAGCCCTACCCCAGGTGCTGACAGCATTGTCCACTCCAGAAGGATTCCCGTGGATCACTCTCTCCCCCTGAAAGGCCCACTTGTTAATTAATTCCAGATCCTCTTCGCACCACCTGAAGACAAGAAACACAGCTTTACCACAGGGTGAGCGGAGCCTGGTCATTTCAGGCAGTAGAGGGCAGGAGCTGCAGACAGCACTTGATAGAGGCCAAAGGCCAAGGGGCTTGAGCTCACAACCTCAGAAAGAAGAGAAAACCATCACTGAGCATCTCATCTAAAGCCTGACGAACATTCTTTTGCCTTCTCTCCACGCCTGCCTGGCCCAGGCCTTGGGTTCCCACAATCCTACTTTGGCTCTTCTTAGCTGAGTAACTCTGGGTCCGAGACCTGGCCTCTCCAAGCCTCACTCACGCTCTTCAGAAGTAAGATGGTCAGCTTTGCCTGCTTCCGAGCTAGGGGCACATGTGGCTAAAGCTGGTAATGACCCTGGTAGAGTAGGCACTCTCAGCAGGTGGTAATAATTACTGGAAGGGACCCTGTGGAAGTACCCACTTCTGAGCCAAGGCCACCATCAGCAAGAGGGAGCAGAGGCAGGCTGCTTCCTGAGGCCCTGCGCAGGTCAGGTGCACAACCACTTTGAATTCAATTCCGCGTGCCCCAGACGCCCCGGTGGGCCAGGCTGACACCAACCATGTCTGAATCTCTCCAAAGCATAAGGAGCCTTTCGTGGAGGTGTGGGCTCATTACAGAGCATGTGAACAGACTAAAACGCAGGGATGGGGGTGGGCACTGAGGGGGATACAGCAGCCCGCGCCTTCCCCACTCTTCCCTTAGCTCTGGCTTCCTTTCAGTGGATCCTCTTCCCCACAGAACAGCAGCAGCCTCTGCAGAGGCCACCACTCAGAGGCAGAGTTGTGGACGAGGCTTCGTGCCCACCGGGCTGCGACTCACTGGACATCCCTGAGCCACAGCTCCCTGTACCTTACTTCCCTCCTCCAGAACAGACAGGGATGGCAGTGTCTCCCTCACAGAGGCGCCATGAGCAGGAAGAACGCACAAGGTGCTGTGTGATGAAAGGGGACAGCATGTGCTTCCCCTAAAATAGGTCACTGGGGACACCAAAGCCCGTCCCACCCACTTGGGCAAGTCAGAGACCTCCTCTGAGACTCTTTCCTCATCTTTGAAAAGAGGATTTCATGAGCCTACAACTCACACAGTAGTTGTGGGACTATGATTAAAGATGAGGCAGCTGGGCATGGTGGTATACACCTGCAATCCCAATGCTCAGAGGCAGAGGCAGGAAGATTGCATGTTCAAGTCTAGCCTGAGTTACACAGTGAAATTCTGTCTTAAAAGGGAGAGGAGTTAGGGGCATGGCTCACAAGGTAGAGTGCCTGTCTACTAAAGCACAAGACCCTGAGTATGAACCACCCCCCACCCCGAAAAAAAAATAGAGGAAGAAAATTCTACAGGGAAGGTCTGATTATTATCCCTTTCACATAGAAGGGAAAACTGAGGCTCAGATGGGGAAAGCAGCATCCCCAGGATCACAGTGCTACTCACTGCTTCACCAGAACCACATCACTGACTTGGACCCTAAGTTCTGAACTGTACTTCATGGTACCAAGGACATTCATTCACTGGTTCCTTCAGTGTTTATTGAGCGACTACAACGTGCACATGAGCAGATCACAGCAGAGAGCAAAGCAGACGTAGTCCCTGATTTCCAGAAGCCTGGAGTCTAGTTGTGAGAGCAGAGGTTGGTAAGCAAGCCTTATTTAGGTATAAACAGATGAGTCACACCACAAAGCAGGTGCTTAGGGAAGCACAGTGCAGGCGGAGTGGAGTACACCTCATGCTGAGTGGGGGAGGGATGGGGGAGGGATGGGGGCAAAGGGAGGAAAGGGAGGCCAGCCAGGCAAGTGGAAGCAGAGAGCACTGTCACCAGAGGGACCAACTTGTGAGATTCCTGGAACCAGCTCAAAGCTGGCACTGTCTAGAACCTGGAAGATGGCAGCATACTCAGGAAGAAGTGAGCAGAGCAATTGAGGCAGGAAAGGAACCAGGCAACTGACTTAGCCCTGATCCAGCCCTCTTGACAACACAGGGCTCTTTCCTACCCTGTGCTCTGGGGGAGCCTGGACCCCAATTCTGACTCCAAAATGCTGGCTGGGGCCTGCTCTCCCCCCTGGTTCTGAGGTCTTTGGGGCAGAAGACCACACACACATAGAGGCGCCCTCTGCCTTTTGGGAAGCAGAGCCAGTCTATTAGCCTGTGTGAGTGTCTGTTTAGGAGACTCAGGGCAACAAGACTTTCCCCAATCTGGGTTTTGACAGCAGCTGGCCCACAGTCATGAGCAGCTGTCTCTAATTCACTCTCCTGAGTCATCATCTTATCATGGGATAGGCCAGGCCAGGCCAGGAGAGCCCCAAGGACCATCAGGTCCAGCCCAATTCCAGATGAGGAAAGGGCCTCATTGGGAAAGGGCTACCCCGGGACCTGATAAGTTAACAGGCAAGCTCCTGTAATCCTTGAAGACAGCAGTCTGCTGCTACCTACAGGCACAATCTCTCTCTCCCTCCTTCCTGGATTCCTCCCTGGAGAGATGGCAGCCTCTCTCACCTCCCAAGTCCTTGTCACACACAGAGCCAGGCAGAGCCCCTTTGGGAAGCTGGCAGACTCACAGCAACAGCTGGTTCACTGTGGCCTAGGAGGATCAAAGCAGCTTGGGGCTTTTTACAGTCTGAATTCAACCTACATGTCAGGAAAGGAATTATTGGCTGTGACAGAAACCCTAACAGGCACCCAACAGAGCCAGGGAAACAAAACCACAGCACTTTCATGCCAGAGAAGAAAAACTCAGTTCAAAGTAAACTCAGGCAGAGAACAGAGCACTTTAGCCCCAGGCCAGCATGCTGTGTTCTTGGTGTCTTGCCCTGCTTTGTGCCCTGCTATGGGCTGGGAGATGCAGAGCGTGGCTTAGGGTGACCACTCATGGCTGAGTCCATCCCAGTGCTATGTGAGAGGCCTTCACTTCTGCTGACTATACTGGGGACAGATGAACCCAGCAGTCCACCTAAAACAGCACAGCTGGGCACCAATGACTGGTATCAAAAGCCCCCCCAGCTGGGTAGGTTCCCTTAATCCATGTGGGTCCAGGAAAGCCTCACAATGGAGCGCCCAGAAAGATTCTAGGACCTTCTCCACAACACCCTGCGCCCAAGACAGCAGAAATGGTCTGTCCTACCCTGAGGACCACAGAGGTGACACTCCCTCCATGGGATGAGGTTGAGGGCCGTAGGAGGAGAGATGCCCTACTCTAACACAGATGCCTTCTATTGGTGGCTTCTTGGCACTGCTGAGCATGACCTCACTGTGACCCAATGGGCACACTCATTACCATACCGAGGAGTCACAGAGACTCTGAGGGCCACAGGGACCTGGCTGAGGCTCCACAGTGAGTCTGCAGAGGTAGTGTGGTATGTCTAACCTATTGTCATCTATATCCAGATTTGAGTTCTTTCTACCACACCATGGGCACACTCAAAATGAGAGCCAAGATGCAAGGGGGTTCAGGTGGAGGGTGACACAGAAGTGAATTAGTGCAGGAGTGAAGAGCTCAGCTTCTGGGTTCAAATCCTGCTCAGCTATGTAGTCTGGGCCAGTCACATGGCCTCTTGGCCTCAGCTTCCTCATCTGGAAAGTGGTCATCGTAATACATCTCACTTTGTAGGGGTGATGAAGTCCCAGCAAAACCTCACCAGGCCCTTGCTTGGGTCCTGGCACCCAGGAAGGACAATGACCAAGGCAATGACTGTGATTACCTGCTGACTAGGTCGCCGTCCTTCAGAGGGTTTGGGATCTCCTCACATGCAGTCAGGAGGGCGGCTGCCAAACACACGGAGTAGGAGGCACTGGAGCCCAAGCCTGCCCCGGTGGGCAGCTCTGACCATACCACGATGTCCAGGCTTGGCAGAGTCCTGAAACACACCGTGGCACAAAACACGACTCTACAAGCCCAGACAACCAGGAAACGGGTAAAGATTCATTTAAGTCACTCCACTGTCCAACCCAAGCTCTTCCGAAAGGCACTGGTGACACACCAACCTCTCCTCTAACCTCTGTCTGGCTCCTGCACGTGCTGACCCCTCCCTGGCCCCGTTATTAGCTCCTCCTACCTGAGATGGCCTTCCATCTCTCCAAGAGAACCCCCTCCTGGCTGCACCTGAGGACGCTCACAGGTCTTCTTCATGCATGTGTGTCCCCAAGAAGGCCTCCCCCGCCACACAGTGCTGGGTCTGCTTTGGGTCACCAGAAAGTTTGGAATCACCATCTTCCCTGTATTTCCCCCAAGTGAGCCCTGTCAAGCTTCCCACAAAACCCTTTTCTCATTTTCTAAATATAAAAATTACAATACCGAATGTGCTCATCCTCCCCAGACTGGGAGATTCTGAAATGCCCTCTCCCAAGCTGAAAATCTCTACACTGGACACAAGTGTCAGCCATTTATGAAGGCAGCCTCAGCACATTGCCTGGCTGCTGAGTTGGTGTCTGTCACTTTTATGAAGGGCTACTGTTTGCATGCTCCAAAAAAAAAACACTGCACACTCACTCTGTGCTAGTTACGGTGCCAGGCCCATTTTATATGTATTTGTAATCCCCCTTGTGCTTTTCTAATGGTAACACCTAACATTTATCAAGCTATGTGCTAGGCTCTGTGCCAAGCACTTCAGATCAATTAAACCCACAGCAGCCCTGTAAGCTCTATCATCACACCCACTTAACAGATGAGAAAGCTGAGGCTGAGAGGGCAATCACTTGTAACAACCTAGCAAGAGGCATGGCAGGGGTTTGAATAATGCAGCCTGTGCCTGAGCTCATGCTCTAGCACCACAGGACATTGCCTCAACAGTGCTGTCACTTAAAGGGAAGAGGACTCAGGCTTTACCACCAAAGTTCCATGCAGCCATGAGATGTGGGACGCAGGTGCCACTGCAGTCACTACAGAGAGGCCACACCACGCGAGGCCACCTGCGGAGCTGAGGATGGAATGTGGCTTTGGTCACAATGGAACAGGGTTTGGCACGTCAGTGTTGGCATTAGAGTGAACCGTGCTGACTTCCAGCTCTTCTGCTTGCCACCTGGCTGACCACGTGTAGACTTTATTTCCCTGAGTCTCAACTTCCCCAGGATAAATGAGGTAGTACCTTTATCCTGGGCTGCTGCTGGTCACACAGTGAGGACAGTGACAGCTGCTGTTACTAGAGACCTAAAAGAGGGACATGCATTCTCCACCAGCACTGATGATGGAAACTCTTCCTGCTTCCCTAGGGGTGGGTGAATCAGGGTTCTTTCTGCAGACCATGAACGCACCTCTGCTTCCGGCAGATGGTCAGGTATAAGTACAGGAAGGACACTAGACCCAGGCACTCGGTGACAGCAGAGTCCTTGGGAAAGCCTGCCACCTCCTTCAGCTTCTCCACTTGCTCTGGGGTGGGTGCTGTGACATCACCTTGCTCTGTCACACAGGCAAAGAAGCAAACATGGGTGAGAGGGCCTCAGGTGCTTTTCTAAACAACAAAATACAGAAAGTGTGAGTGGACAATGAACTGTGGGTAGACGTTAACTTATGGTCCAAGCATCGCAACCAAGTCTACCCATTCACTTTGAGCTTTAAGAGTGCGCAGACTTGGGTATGGGTCCTGACTGTACCACTCACTGCCTGTGTGGCCTTGAGCATGTGACTTACCCCTCTAAACCCTGGTTTCCCACCATGGTAAAATAGGGATACAGCACCTATTTACGGGATTATCATGAGGGTAAAATGAGGTAAGGTCTGTACAATTCCTAGCACGGTTCCTGGTCCAGAATAGGTATGTGGTTAAACAGTAGTTTAAACACCTACACCCACACACATGGAGTGAACGCTAGATCAATCACTCAAAGACCTGTGTGTTCCCTTTCACTGTACAAAACCAAACTCAAAGACAGTACTCAAAAACAAAGCCAGACGTAGTGATGCATACTTATAATTCCAGCTACTCAGGAGGTAGAGGCAGGAGGATATCCATTTTAAGGCCAGCACAGGCAAGGAGAGCCAGATCTTACCTCAAAACAAAATAAAAGCAAAAGGACTAGGATGTAGTTCAAGTGGTAGAGTGCTTACTTAACATGTGCAAGGCCCTGGGCTCAATCCCCAGTACCACTAAGTAAGTAAGTAAATAAGGAAAGAAAGAAATTAAATAAATAAATGCAGTGAATGAAAGTTTTCCTAGTGACATGTACGAGCGTGTGCTACTTTCCTCTGAGACATGTAAGAGGCTGAGCAAGTTGGACCAGCTCACCTTTACAAATCACTCCCTGAGCCTCAGGTCAAGTTGAAAGGTAACATGAAGTAAAGTTGGGTGTATTAGGAAATTTCAGGGCACCTCTCAAGTGTTCAGTAAATATGTGTTGAACATATTAATGATACGTTCAAGACAGCCAAATCACTGACATGATAGAGAGCCCAGGCATTGCAGAGCTCCACGATGAAGATGGGACTGGCTTTGGAGTTGGGAAAGACCTGCATCTGAATTCTTTCTGTATCACTAGCGTGCTGCAAGCCCGAGCCACTTGAATTCTGGCCTCAATTTTCTCATTCATAAAATGCGGATGAATAATATCACCTACTTCTCAGGAAGGTTGGAGAGTTCTAAGAGTGTGACCACACTTGGCCTCAGTGACAAGTGGCACACATAAATGCCTAATAGGTGTTCACTGTGGTTATTACATTAAGAGGCAGCAAAAGACACTGAAAGAAGGATGCAGACCCTTGCAACCTAGTAGAAACCTATCTCCAGAAGGTTCCAGTTCCTTTGTCTCCTATGGGAAACAGACAGCCAAGCCCTTACCTACATATTACTCTCAGCGTCACAGCCTCGCAGACCACCAGATCCTGCTGGATCCTCATAGCAACCCTTAGCCAGGCAACACTGCCCTGCTCCTTGGGCCCCGAAGGAGCAGTGACCTGCCCAGGATCACCAGGGAGTCAGAGTGCTCTCAGACAGGCCCCAATACCTGGCTGCTTCTGCCTCAGGCTGCTGACTTGCAAAAGCAGCAGCCTGTTCTCAGGGAACACTCTGGCCTGGCGGGAGGGTCCTGGGCACCACGGAAAGCAATCCCAGGTGCTCTAGCTGGCCACTTGCTAAGGCACATTCTGAAACAGTGGCTCTGAAATGAGGGTGTCCCTGAAATCACCAGGGAATCCCCTCAAAATGCACATGCTTAGTCTCTTCCACCCTTGCCGATTCTCAACAGGAGAGGAGCAGAAGAGGCATCTACCTGTATTGGTAACAACAAAAACCTTACCAAGCAATTCTAAGACATGCCGGCTTGAAAATGGTTGCTCTAAAATGATGATTTTCTTTTTTCTTTCCTTTTATTCCTTCAATACTGGTAGTCAAGCCCAGAGCTCTATCCCTGGGCTATGATACCACCCTGAAGATTTGCAGCTCTACTCCATCTCCTGTGGAAGTGGCTATGGCTTCTCATGGGGGTAGGGGAGGATACAATTTGGGTATACTCCCTAGAGGGCTCACACTTGGCCTAGGCTTGCTGAGAAATGCTGTTGTCAGCCATGAGGCATCAGCCCAGAGAGGAAACAGCAGGTTGAGAACAGAGAGCATCTCCAGCTGTGAGGCAGGTGAGACTAGGCTGCCTGAAGAAAACTACTTTCCTTAGGAAAGCACCCAACCTCCCACAAGAGCAGAGGCCCCAAATTCCTGGAAAGATGGTTGTGATACACTGAGGGAGAACCACTCACATGTTTCTAAAAGGTTGGTGTGCTTTGACCCAATTTTGTTTAAAAAGTAACATACCTCCCCATCTCAATCAAACTATCTCCTTAGAGAAAATAATCCAGAAGGATTAACACCAAAGTGCTCAGGCTAAAATACTGGGGAAGACGGAAACAATAATAGGTGATTTCTCCTTCTTTTCTTCTTCTTTTTTTTGGTCATAATGTCTCAGTATTGACTGTATTTTCCAGTTATAAGAATAAGTCACTTGATTTTTAAATAATTTTTTGGGTGCTGGGGACTGAGCCCAAAGCCTCATATGTGCTAAGCACACTGCTGCACTCAGTTGTATTTTTAATTTTACAAACGCCAATTCATTCATTCTCCTTGTAAAAAGCAACAACATTACAGAAAATAAGGGACTTTACCCACTCCCCGGCTCCAGGACTCTCCCAGAGGAGCAAATCACCACTGTCAGTTTAACATCTATTCCCCCAGACTTTTTCCTATGCATTTACACCCCAACTTATATATAAGTATGCATGCCATTTTACATCTGAAGTTTTTTCACTCAAAAATAGGCCTTGATGATCTGTCCACAACAGCCCACAGAGAACTAGTGCACTGTTTTACTTTAAAATTAAAACATAATAGTAAATAAGCTAATTTTATGGGGTCAGAACAGAAACCCTCCCAGAAAAGCTGGCTTCTGTCTCCCTTGGGGATCACCTGGAATAACTGCCAGCTGTCCCCTTTCCCTCTCTTCAGGATGCAGGCTCTTCCTACGCCTGGTTTCTCCTCCTGCGCTTACCCAGAAAGCCTGTATCCAGCAGCTGAAGCCTGGCCACATCCCAGGCCCACTTGATACCAACGTTTGGCAAATTGAGGCTAACTTTCCCATTGCTCTGGGGTTGAAGCCGAAGGAATGTTCTCAAGTTCAAGGCCATTGCCAGTGCCACCTGTAGAATAAAGGGAAAGGCAGTAAGGCTGAGGGTAAATGGCAAGGGGTCAGTGTCAATACACTGAGAAGTGAGGCAAATAGTCCCACACAGGCCACTGTCTCCCAAGGCCATGCCCTGGGCTGACATACTGCTAATTAACCTTGCTTACTGAGCCTCGAACAGTCACTACCACTTAACTAGGAGTTAATATCTACTTATATTTGCCTTCCCCTGGAAAACTTCAGAGATTCCCAACACCAAGGAATAACTTCCCCATAATCACTACATTTTCAAAGCAAACTACAAGAACATAAAGAATGGCAGTTGGAATGAAGTGGAAACACATGAGCTTTGGGTTCAGATGGACTTGGGTTCACTCCTCACTCTATCAAGGTGTAGGGAGCTTGGTCAAACCTCTGCTTCGGGGAGAATAATAAAAGGATGTATCTCAGGGAGTTGTAAGGATTAGATAAGGTAATGCATGTTTCTGACTGCTTTGCTGGACCATCTTTCCAACTTCTAAACATGCAAGTTCCCCAAAGCTCAGTCCTCAAACCTCACTTTCTCTCCACTAGAGCTTACTTCCTGCATCCATTCCGCTTGTAGGGCTTTCTATATTACCTTTTTTCTATCTTATTGGGTGAGGCAGGAAAGTTCTTCAGTGGCATAACATCTATTTTTTCCTTGCCTGGCTGAGGAGAATCAGGCCTCTTTTTTTGGTCTGCTCCCAGGCTCTGCCTCAGGGCATACCTTCTTGCAAGACAGTAAGAAGAAAAGGAACCCAATCCTTAAAGGCTCTGGCAGCTTTTTACCTTGCCATGGACCACAGCATGTTCTCCATGAAGGATAACTTTCCCCGGAGCAGACACCACCAGGACTTCTGACAACATGGCTCTTGAGAATCCTGAAAAGGGAAAGCCAGGGCGAGGAACAAAGTTCCCTACATGTTAGAACCAACAGGAATAGATCTTAGACAAAGCCCAGTTCAAGTTCATCACACACCAACAAAGACGGCCACCATCCAGTCCTTGCTATGCACCAGAAAGGTAGCACAGCATAGCAGTCAATGGACAAATGAGAAAGGTCTGGGTTCAGATCCCGACTCTTCCACTCCTCAGTGATGTCATTAGTTAAAATGGCTACAAACCTGTTTCCCCCCATGTTATAACAGACAATAACGGGACCTACTTTGATGGACTGTTAGGAAGGTTACTGATAGCTACTTAATAGTAGGTCTGTTCTTGGGTTCAGCTTTTGTCACCAGTACTATTGAAGGCAGAAGTTTCAATGAGGGCTGGGTGTGCAGCTCAATGGTAGAGTGCTTGCTTAGTGGGGGCGGGGGCGATAGAGAAGAGAAGGTTGATTTTTACACGAAATCATAGACCAGAAAGAACTATTTCCTGGACATTGAGGCTGTTTCCAATGTGCCACAGTTATAAACAGGATCGCGGAAAACACCTGTTACCCCCCCCCCGTTTTTTTGCACACTTAAATGAGGACTTCTGCAAGACAGAGTCTTAGAAGGTGGCTTGTTTGCTGGTTTTTATAAACAATGCACCCTCCCCCACACACAAGGCTTTCCGTGAACTACCTTATACTAAGACCTCAATCACAGTATGAACTAAGTACCACCGTGAACTGTCAGATTTGAGGTCGCCCACCTCTCAGGACAAATTCTCAGAGTTGAAGCCGGGAATCTGGCCCAGGGCCGTCCGGAGTCTTGCACCTCGCGCCACCCGGTCCGCAAACCCAGGTGTCTCACCTGCCGACGCCACCGCCCCTCTGCACAGAAGTCCGAGGTAGGGTTGCTCGCAGATTCCTCCATCCCAGAGCCATAAACCCGGCAGGAGGCGGCCTCTTCCTTCCGCCCAGCCAATTAGAGCACGGAGATGGAAATCCCTTTACGAATTGGCCTGAGAATTGGCCAATAGGCATTATAGTCGTCACGAGTTTTGCCGACCACTCTTTTATAAGCCAATAGGAAATAAGTATCTGGGAGTGTCCCGCCCTGGTACGAGAGCCACGGACCAATGGGAAATGGCGGCTGAGCAGTGGCGCGGTCAGCTAAGGGTGGAGCTGCCCGGGTCCTGGACGGCAGCCTGGCGGGGTCAAGCCCTGACTAGCAGCGCAGAGTATGGCTGTTTGGGGCCTGGGGAGCCAACTTGTCCTGCGCGGGTGCATCGGCGCCAGCAGGCTGTTATGTCCCCGTTTCCAGAGCCGCGGCTCTCAAGGCGTGGAAGACGGGGACAGGTAGGTGTCTGGCTGGGAGGGTAACTCGAACACCTGCCATGAATCGTGGTGTCACCATGGGTACGTCATAGGTGACGTCCCCTCTGTCTTGACGTGACGTGGGCGACGCGGAAGCCACAGGCCAGGATTTCTTTGCACAAGTCTTAATGAAGCCCAGCTACCATCAGTCCAGGAGCATCCTCAAATCGGATTTTGACTCTAAGACATCAAGATGATTGTCGTATACTTTGAAAGAACCTGTAGAGTACCATGAATGCATTAATATATTTCAGATCCAGTAATTTAACATTTGATTAACTCTGTAATGTCGCCCTCTAATTTTGAGCTATGTTTTGAAGTCATATGTTGCTATTTGAAAATGCCAGGTTTTGGAAGGGGAGGACGGGCTGAAGGGGCCCAGGATGTTACTCAGTGGTGGAACACTTGCCCACCGGTGCTTGGATCCCAGCACTATAAAAAATTAAAAGTTTTTTAAAAAAAGAAAATGCCAGTTTTTCATTTCTGAGTATGCTTGAAGCCTTATGGAATGGAAGCAGCTCAGTTTTCTTTCCCTCCAAGAGGCCCTGACTTGGTGGTAGAGGATCAGAGTTTGGCCTCTGGAGTGGTTTGGTCTTGTGGCTGAATCCCAGCCCTGCCTCTTCCTCCCTGTGTAACCTAGGAGGATGAATATCACTCTGACTACAGTTTTCTCAATAGCAAAATGAAGGTAATACCTTTGGGGCTGTGGGAAGATTCCAGGGATAATTCCAGGAGATAATACCTATAATGCACTATGGTGCGAAGCAATCAATCCATTTACTCGGCAAATACTTTTTAATCATCTATGTCGAGCAGTACACTACATCAGCTACTCTGCAAGCCGTGGGAAGACATAGAGCTTGTCCACAGGGAACTTGTGACTAGAAGGTTTGGAGGGGAACAATGTCAACAAGAGATAGCCATCCTCCAGGCACCAGTGACTCATGCCTGTAATTCTAGCTACTCAAGAGGCAGAGATCAGGAGGATCGCAGTTTGAAGCCAGCCTGGGCAAATAGTTCGCAAGACCCTATCTTGAAAAACCCCAACACACACACACACACAAAAAGACTGGTGGAGTGGCTGAAAAAAGAGAGAGAGAGATTGCCGTCCAAGAAGTGAAGAAAAATGCTGCCACTGAGGTTGCAAGCAGCAAGCTGGGCCCCACTGATAGAGGTGCCCTCTCTGTGAGCCATCCCCACTCACCACCTCTTGATGTCTGTTTCTCATTAGGCCACAGCCTTCCTCGAAGACCCCCAAGATCCCCAAGATTTACACCAAAACAGGAGACAAAGGTAGGATGGTGAGAGGTGGGAAAATGCAGCAAAAAACATAAGGCAGACATTATTTTAAAGTTCTTCCAGCTTCCTTATAGCTATTAGTAATTATGTGACAGATTGGAATGTGCATCACAAAAATGAGGTAAAGTGAAAAACACCCAGAATACATTAAGTGATAAAAACAAGTCCGGTACCTCCAGGGGACCACCTCTAATAAAACACGGTTGCATGGTTAAGATGGCTCCACAAGATGATGCTGGGAAAGACATGTAGGACTGGGCCAACTTGAGGGAGGATTCAAGGAAGTGAGGCTTTGTTCTGGATTGGACATGGTCAGGAAGCAGGACTAATTGTTTAATTGGATGTCTTAATAATTTTTCTTTAGACTGTGGGTAAGAGAAAGAGGTGCTAACACTGTGCTGGGTAAAGATGCAGCTGTCACTCAGATTGGCCAGAAAAGGGGATATTTGGTCATTTTCATAGTTTGGACAATATTCTGTGCTCAGATATGATTACTCACTGGCCTTGTTTTGATTTTGAATTGTCACAGATTTGTACCTTTGATGGTTTGTTGTGAAATCATTTGTGTTCAACAAACACCACAGCCTACCTGTAAGTGACAGGCCAGTACCTGGCAATACCAAAGCCTGGCTGATAGTTCTAGGCAGAAACCATTATGCAGGCTGAGTTGTGGAAGACTTTGATCTCATGTGAGATACAGTGAGATGTATATGTAATATAACACATAGGTTTTACTTCTTGAGCAGGATATTTCTTACATGATTTTAAACTAAAAGCATATAAAGGAAGCCAGGCACTGGTGGCTCACACCTATAATCCTAGCTACTTGGGAGGCAGAGATCAGGAGGATCTTGGTTCAAGGCTTGCCAGGACAAATAGTTTGAGAGACCCTATCCTGAAAATACTCAATACAAAAAAGGGCTGGTGGAGTGACTCAAATGATAGAGTGCCTGCCTAGCAAGTGTGAGGTCCTGAGTTCAAACCCCAGTACCACCAAAGGGGAAAGAAAAAAGCATATCGAGGAAGAAGTGAGAATAGTGACGGAAAGGGGGTAAGGGGGTCCTCTAGGGTGCTGGTCAAAGTCTGTTACTGAGCTGGGTGCTGATAACACAGGTGTGTTCAGTCCATAGCAATTCATGAGCTTGTACCCTTAATGATTCCAATACTTTTCTGCATCCATGTTATACTTCAGGTTGAAAAAAATCAGGAAAAAAGTAATGTGGACAACCAAACATCTTTCTTTAGGGTTTTCCAGCACTTTCACAGGAGAAAGGAGACGCAAAGATGACCAGCTGTTTGAAGCCGTGGGAACTACAGATGAATTAAGTTCAGCTATTGGGTAAGGGAGACAAGATTGGCCTTGAGGTTGAGTCTGAATGGGGCACCAGTGAATGCCATCGATGTAAAGCTGTCCCCAGTGCTGGGCCGTCCTGGAAGTTACCAACCCTGGATGATTTCTCTGCGGGAAACTCAGGCTGGTCACCTCCACAAGGCTGCAGGCACGTCTCCCTTCTCTCTCTGCCTTTGTCCTCCATCCCTGGTCCCCTCGCTTTTCAGGTGAGTGGGCGTGCCGTCCAGGTGCAGGCAGTAAGTAAAAGAGGAGAGTTAGTGTGATATACACTGTACTAAACATGGTCCCATTCATGAATGTTATTTTTAAATAAGCAAAAGTTTATAAGATTGACTCAAAGAATTAATCAAGATGGGCTTGCTGTGACAATAAATAGCTCCAAAACCTGATGATTCACAAATCAAAGGTACATTTCTTGCTTTTACTTTAAGTCTTCCATGGGTTGGCTAGATTTCTGTCCCACATGGCCTTCACTCTGGGACCCCGACTGGCAGAACTGCCTCTGTCTGGGATGATGTCAGAGGTCCTGGTGAAACTCACCCTGGTTCTTAAAGCTCCCCAGGGAGTGACAGAGCCACTTACCATGGACTTGTCTGACATTAGTGGGGTGGGAGGAGCTGTACATAATGAGAAGCATAGCACAGTCCATGTGCTCAGCACACTGTTTAGTCTCAAACCACAGTCTCAAGCACTAGGTCCTGAGATCCAGTGTGGCCCTCTTGTTACAGGGATGTTGGAGTCGGACCTGGGTTCAAATTCGGTACCACTGCCCACCAGCTGTGTGACTTTAGGAAAGTCACCTGGCCTCTCTGAAACTCAGTTTACTATTCTGTCAAATGATCATAGTAACACTGTCCATCTCTTTATTTTTGTGAGAATTAAAGAAATCTCTGTCCCCCTCCCCCAACCCAGGACAGTGCCTAGAACAAGTAATAATAAAGATAGTTTTTACTGTTAGCATTATCATGATAGCTTCTGTGTTCCTAGCTGCCGTTTCTCAACAATGAACAGACTAGGTGAGATTTTCAGGACAGTGGCAGGTGTAGATTCTTTGCCAGTAGGGAGAGACAGCAGGCCCTTGAGCAAGGAGGAGCAAGTTAGAACTTGCGGAGGGTAGGTGAGGTTCTAACATCAGCCACACAGCATTAGCATATCAGCAAGCCATCATCTGCCAGCAGGTGTGGGGTAGGAGGCCCATCAGAAGCTTCAGCTATGGGTTCTTGTTAGCCATTGACCCAATACTGTCATGTGCCAGAGCCTCAGCCCTGCCTCCACAGGGCTACAGACAGACGATAACAGCTACACGTGATGGGACCTAGTGTGGGGTAAGCACCCAGGAGGGGCCTCCCACTGGGCTGGGTCCCAGGAGCATCCCTCAGTGAGCAGATATTTCTGGATAGGGCTGCCAGGCATGGGACAGTTTGTGGTGATAGTATCCTGGCCCATACAGCCTGTCATACCATCCAGAGGGGGAGACAGACACTGGAGGATGAGTCCCATGTTTGTGTGTTTCTTTCTGATTGTAAGATAGCCGGAAAGATGCTTTGGGTTTTCCCCCACTTCTCTTTGCCTCTCTGTGCCTGGGCAGCTGACCTAACTATGTGATGAGGTGTCACTGCGATTCCCCTCTCTTCTGGCTTCAGAAGGATCCAGCCAATGGTAGGCAGCAGCAGGGGTGGGTGAGTGGGGAAGGAAGGTCAGGGATCACACATGACCCTGCTGCCCAGCTGTGGGTGGCCCTGGTGGCTCTTGGCTCCCAAGGAACGCTCTAGGCACTTCAGGACCCTCCCTGGCTTCTTCAGGCTCCTGCTCTTACCCCTCTGCCACCTACTATTAGTTCCTACAACTTTGCCTGCACCTCTGGAACTGTTGCTTCCAGAAGCTCTTCTCCAGAAATCCCTCTAATGTGCTGCTGTCTGTTCCCTGCCAGGACCCTGAGTGGTACAGGCAGGAAGTTAAGATTTCTAAGGGGACCAGAACCAGGGTCCTGACCTGTGTCTGGACAATTCATGCCTCCCCCTTCCTACCTTACCAGGAAACTCCTCCACAGCCTTCAAAGCCCCACCTCTAGCGTGCTTCCTCTGAGGAGTCTTCCCTGCCCCTTAGCTGAGGCTTGGCTAGGTTTCTCTTTCTCTTTCCTTTCAGGGTACTGACCTCAGCTTGCATTCCCCTGCAGTAGTGTGGTAATGAGTCTCCCCCCTCTGCCAGACCGAGCCTGTGTCCAGCTGAATCACCAGGACCCAGCCAGGGCAGGTACTCAGAAAGGAATTGTTAGCTGGGAACGAGTATAAGAAAAAGCACTGTGAGAAACAAACACCCCTATCCAAATGGATGCATTTGGATACTGTTCTTACAAGGAAAAGGTCACCATGGCTATCTAGTTCAGTTAGTTATCTCACAGCAACATTAAATTAGAGGTAAATTCTTTCTCCTTCTTCCTCGTAGGTTTGCTATGGAGTTAATTGCAGAAAAGGACCACACACTTGCCGACGAGCTTCAGAAAGTAAGTAGCATCACTTCTCCCCAAGAAGGGGCTTTTCATCCCTGTGGCCTGATGGCCATAACAATTTGTAATCTGACCATCACTTCCTCTTTCTGTCACTTGGGGTTAGTCACTCTCCCTCCGCAAGCCTCAGTTTCTTCACCTGTGAAAATGGGGAGGAATACTCCTGCTTCATGGGTGAGGACCTCGCTTAGTGAGGGGAGTGTAAGGGCAGCTGTTCTTAGCCAGGAGGCATCTGGCAATGTCGGGCACTGAAGCTAAATAGCCCATAATGCACAGGGCAGTCTCCTTGACAAAGAATGACCAAGTCTCAAGCAGCAGTACCACCAAGCTGAGAAGCCGGCGGGCAGAGCCTCAGCTTGGGAAGCCCAGCTACCTGAGCCCTCAGTACTCATGCTTGTTAGCATTGCTGTGTGTTCCTGAAGGTGTGGGGCCTCTGACCCCAGGAAGAATGTCCAATACCCACGCAGGGATGCCACCCAGAGATGCCAGGGTATCCATCCGTACACCAAGCCAAGTCCAGAACTGGTTCAGGCTGAAACCCACCTGGCTCCTGGGAGCAGACAGACTCCCTGCTCCCAGAGCCTCTGCCCACCCCAGATATCTATAATCGCTCAGTCCCTGTCCTTTACAGTTTAGATAGCACTGTCACATTTGGTTTTTTGTTCAGATTAGAAAACCAAAGCTGTCAGTTTAGAGAAAAAGAAACCTCACAAGGGCCCAGTGTGTGGGATCAGAATTGAGACGGTTCCTCTTGACCACCCCTGGAAACTTTATGCGCACCAGGGCTTTTTCTTCCCTCAGACTCCAAGAGGGCTGTGCCAAGTCCCCTCCACAGGGCTGGATGGCCTGTGAAGACAGGATATGAAGAGTCAGATAGTGCCTTTAAATCTCAGGTCATTAAAGGTCTGACAGTCCCTCATAAGACAGCTGTCTGCATACGCTTTGCCTGGTGTTAGTGCTATTTCTGCCTGGCCTGCCACAAATAGACCTTTATTCTTGCCTCTTGCTCCCCAGATCCAGTGTACACTGCAGGATGTCGGCTCTGCCCTGGCCACGCCATGTTCCTCGGCCAGGGAGGCTCACTTAAGTAATTCTCCAAACTTGCTGGGTGCCCAGAGGGCCCTGGGTGGGAGGAGCCTCCTGGGTATCGAACCTTGGCAGGCCTGGTAGCGTGGGAAGGAAGGATCTCTGCATGGTGGAAGCCACTGGTGGGGCACCCAGCAAAAGGGACGCGGGTGTTTCCTCATGTCTTATGGGCCATGGCCTCATGGCGACTTCCTTCTGCCCCTTGACAGAGCAGGTGACCTTTAAGGCGGAGCCTATCATGGAGCTGGAGCAATGGATTGACAAGTACTCCAGCCAACTGCCCCCTCTCACGGCTTTTATTCTGCCTGTAGGTGTTGGATGGCCTCCACCCCGGGGTTGGGGGAGGGGCTCACATAAGCCCCCCTCACTCATAGCTTCTAACAGGCACAGCAGCTGTCACCCAGCCCCCAAGTCCCTCCCCAGCTCTGCCCAGTGGTTGTGCCCCACAGGGACCCTAAAGCAGAACACTGCCTGGTAGGGGTTAGGGCCTCGATCTTAGAGGAGCCCCCTTTCTGCAGTGTGCACACCTGCTCAGCCCTGCCCAGCCAACACCTGTTTTCTCCTTTTAGTCCGGAGGCAAGAGCAGCTCAGCACTGCACTTCTGCCGGGCTGTGTGCCGCCGTGCTGAAAGACGGTAAGTGTGTAGGGCCACTGGAAATGAGGCTGAAAAGCCCCATCATAGTGGGCAGGAGACAGGCGTGTCAGACTTCTTCACTCCATCCACACATTCACTGTGCCATCCACACATTCACTGTGCCAGGAGCCAGGACAGATTGACTCCCTGGCCTCAGAGCCCTATATTGCAGAGGGCGACCAAGATAGATGACATAACTACACATCGCTTATAGGCCCAGAGTTGTCCACCTCTCTCCTGAGAGCAACAGGAAGCCAGTGATAGGTTCCAGGTCTCCTGGGGAGGTGTGACAAGAAAGGACCTGCTAGCTGCTGGACAGGCCATGTGGCTGTGGGGGACACAGGTAGAAGCTGTCAACAGCTCAGCACTCATAACCCAACTCAGAGTTGGGAACGGAAACGGAAAGGTCCCCCAGAAGCTTCCATCAGCCTTTTCAAGGAGAATGTCCTTTTACAGCGTTCTTTGGCCAGGCTGCCCTCCAGCTTACAGAGTGGAAATAGGGTCCTGGCTCCACACAACAGACAGCTAGCTGGCTCTGCCCGCCACTCTGTGTGTGTCATTTCATAGAGTCCTTGAGAACACTCGGACACAGGTAGTGGGCACTTCCCAGGAATCAGGAAACAGGCTCAGAGGTGACATTGTGGCTGTGGTGATATGAGTGCATGTGACCCATGGCAGAGTGCATATTTGCTCCCTGGTCTACCTGGGCTCTTTCATGGCCCCACATCACAAATGTTTCATCCTTCATGAAAGGCTCGTGGGCCCAGACAGGTCCTAAGGCTTTGGCTTTAAAAGAAAGAAATCTAATTGCACAAAGCCATCCTCATCAAACAGAGCTCATAATAGCACAGCATCAAGAACAACTCAAGGCCCACCAACGGTCTGACTGATCTGGTTGGTGGGTCCTCAGTGCAGCAGACAGGCCACAGCCATAGTGATGACATAGGGGCAGACAAGCAGGTGGGACACTTCTGTGTTAAAAAGCTCCATACAAAGTGTGGGATGCCTTCAAGGCAGGCCTGACATGCATCTTCCTGGGTCACTAGCCAGTGGTATGGGTTTGGGGAGAGTGCCTCCAAGCACAGGCTATGCAGCAGGGTGACGTGCATCAAGGTCCTGACGCAGCACGGGTGCTCAGCTCCTGCAGTCACTGAAGTGTCTACACACAGACTGGCATGGACCTCCAGAGTTCAAGATTACAGGATTACAGGAATCAGGAGCTTTGGTTTGTTTGTATCTTTTTCTCCCCATGAGGTTGCACTAAGTCATAGCTTAGAACTGGTAGCACCCCAGGATTAATGGTCAGATTCCTCTTTGCAGGCTGGAGGCTGACCACCCCACCCTACCAAGGAGGATCCTAGGCCTAGGTCTAGAGCACAAAGACCAGCAGTCTACCCCACAACATCCCTGCTATCCTTGGCTAGGCCTCATGTGATATGTCCAAGGGCAGGGTTGGATGAGCCAGTGTTGATGGAGTCTCCATCTCTGGTGCTGCTCTGTTTGTATAGGTTCAGGTCAAGTAGTGTCCAGTTGGGAAATGCTAACCAGGGCATGGGCCCCAGGTTTCTGAGCATGTTGGGTCCTGCTACCTGGCCTGACCGTATATCTCCTGTCCTCCCAGTGTGGTACCTCTCGTCCAGATGGGAGAGACCGATGCCAATGTGGCCAAATTCTTAAACAGGTATGTACACAGAATGTGTCAGGTCTCTAACCTCTAAAAATCCAGGCACATTTGTGGGACATAGCAGCAGTGCCAGAGGAGCAGTGCTAGAGCTGTGCCCACTCAGTCCCGACTTCCTGTATGTTTATTAGCATTATCCATGTGCCCAATACTTTGCCAAGCTCAGGAAAGGTAGCTGTGCATTGGGCAGTCCTGTCCCTCCCACTGTGAGGTTAAGATCTGGTGGGGGACAGCTGTAGAAGCCAGAGAGAGAATTCTAAGTCACGGGGACACGGCCGTAGCAAGGATCGTTTGTGGAGGTTGGGTGCTCAGGGAAGGCCTTGTTGGGCATCTTGGTGGTGACCAACAGGGAACCTAGGAGTCCAGTCCCCTCAGCCAGTTACCCCTCCCTGAGAGGTGTGGGCAATGGTAGCCCAGCCAAGTTGAGCACAGGGGCCGTTATGCAGGTCTCAGTAGGCCAGGCCAGCCAAGAAAGACTCTCTCTGTGTGTCTATTAGCTTCCACAGCTCAACGCCTGCACTGCTGGTTTTTGCTGCAGCCTGGCCTGTGTGGCCAGTGTAAGCAAAATTGGAGCCTAGGGGCAGGAGGACCAGGGCTGTCTTGGGTATGCAGAAAGTGACTTCACAGCAACTGACTGTGAATGCTCCTCCCACTGTAATGTGGCATGGGCTTGGATGGGTCCTGACTGGTCTTCTTAGGAGGGGAGTCTCTACCACAGGCAGCTGCTGGGGGAGTCCTTGCTTCATGTAGGTTGAGCAGTTCAACCCCTCTGCACGATTCATGTTCATGGGACAAACAAGAAAGCAGCACATTTCTGCCTTCCAGGAGCATGTGGTATAGGGCAGTCCCCAGAGCAGTGGCCTCTCTGTCAAGAGAGACAGAATTGGGCTACCTGCAGTTAGGAGAAGGGGTGGGGAAGAGATCAGGGAAAGTTCTGTGGAACTGACCTCAGAGTAGGAGTGGGACAGGAAGGGCTTGAAGATACGGTGGTATGTGCTGGCTGTATAAAAGAGGAGAGTCCTTGGAGGAAGTCACACAAGGACCTGAGGGCAGGTGTGGCATCTGCTCTGTGTTCTCTCTCCCACTTTCCCTGCAGAAGGCCTCCTACCTGAGCCCCACCACTATTGGCTCAAAGGAAGAGAGAGAGAGAGACTACGGTCTGGTCACTAGAATACTGTAGCCCCGTGCTTCTCAACCAGGGCATTGGCAGTGTCTGCAGAAACTTGGTTGTCTCCACTGGGTGTTGGGGAGCTGTTGGCATCGAGCGGGTGGATTCCAGGGATGCTGCTGAGCACCCTACAACTCGCAGGACAGCCCCAGTCACAAGCAGTAATCCAGAATTTCAGCAGTGCCAAGGTCAAGGGCCTGCCTGGGGCCTCTCTACTCACAGTGTGGGCCTGGGGAGCAGCCCCAGTACTATCTGGGTTGGAATTTGACCTGCAGTCCACTCCAGTGTGGGAAGCACCAGTGCCAGCCACTGGAAGGTACAGAAAGTAGCTTTGGGAGTAGCCAGTCCTATCCTGGGAGGTAGGAGATAGGGCTCAGACAACAGACTTGTCCTGCAGGAATGCCCAACCCTCGTGCCAGAATCAGGCTCTTGGCTCTTTCGGAGGCTGGCTTACGGTGCCACCTATCAAACCAGTGGGCTGAGTACCTGCCCTCCCTGCACAGGTTTCTGGGGCTCGGGACTCACAGTTCCTCCAGGAAGGCTAATACAGCAGGCCCCAAATGGTATTGCTCTCTTGTTTCACATCCTTTTTTTTCGCTTCTGTGTCCCCTAGACTCAGTGACTATCTCTTCACCATAGCCAGATACGCAGCCATGAAGGAGGGGACTCAAGAAAAAATATACAAGAAAAATGACCCATCGGACCAAATCTGAGACACTTTGAAATAATGGCAAGGAGGGCTTCACAAGACTCTGCATAGTGACCATGGTGACATTTGCCCTTCTAGAGTTCTGGTTCTCAAAGAGCTCAACCCTAGGGACTAGAAACAGACTGAGCCTTGCCTTACATCCTGTCACTTCCTACAAAGGATTGAGGCTCTCAGGTTTCTGCCCAGCTTTCCCAGGCTGCCTAGGTCTCGGAGGAAGTGGGGCTGCACTCAGTGTCGCAGAAAAGGTGGGCAAAGGTTGCAAAGAGAAGGAGCCACGCAGAAGAATAAAAGTGGAAAAGGTTTGAGCCATGTGGTGGTGTGTGTGTGTGTGTGTGTGTGTGTGTGTGTGTGTGTGTGTGTGTGTGGTTGTTGGGGGTGGTGAGAGAGAGAGAAAACCCTCTTGCCAGCTCAGGTTGTCAAGGATTTGGGATGGTGTGAGTGTGATTTACCTGTGCCAAAGGGGCTTTAAATGTCACATTTATAAAGGGGAGGCAGACAGGACTGGGAAGTTGTCACCTCTGAGCCACCCATCACTGCTAGTGTGGAGGAAGGACAGCTTCAGATTGACAGCCAAGGCCTCAGCAGCACTGGCCTTGGATTTCTGTGTGGCTTGGAGAATCCCCTTAACAGGAAGGGAGGCCCTGGAGACCAACGCCTCCCCACTCAGTTGGGATGAGTGGAGGTGTAAGGTGGAGCCATCTAGCCAGAGAAAGTAAGGTCTTGAGGTCGCAGCAAGGCTGACACTGATGGGACTGCTCTCTCTGATGTTGCACATGGCTGGTTTATACCGCTGAAAGCCACACCAGGGCTGTGTTTTATTCCACTTGTCACCACTGCCCCTCCCACTATGAAATGACACCAGTGCCAGCTGTGTCCTTGGGAAGAGGGATATTTATGAAGGGCGGAGAGGCAACCCTGAGAAGCTAAGGGTTCCATGCTGCTAATTGCAGATGGTGACTACAGAGGGGCAGGCTCAAATCACCATTAGGGCTGAGCCGCATTTACTTATCCAGCGGCTGAATAGCAGGAGGCTCCCTGCTAGGCGCAGGAGGCTGATCACTTCAGCCATCTTCTTGGCTGACAAGTCAGCAAATAATAGGTCTCAGCCACAGGTATCTTCTTGCCCTCTCTCATCACCTTGCCAGCTACTTCTGCAGGCAGGGCAGGTGCATTTGCATATCTGGGTTCTTTGGTGGTGGGCAGACTGCAGGGGCCCTCTGCAGCCCTGGGCAAAGCAAGTGAATTGCAGATGCCCAGGAGGGAGAAATAGACTCTAAGAGGAGGCCATAGGCAAGCCAGGTGCTCAGTGTGTGCAAGCAGGACCTGAAACGGGGAGGGCATGCTCACGGTCTGAAGGGCTTAACTACTGTGCAACTTCTAGCCTGGCTGGAAGCAGACAGACCCAGAGTTTGCAGCAATCACTTAGTTCTGCCCAGACCTCCAGGTCTTCCTCCAGGGCAGGATGTACACAATAAAGCAGCAGCCCACACCCTTTGCCATGGGAAAGTTCAGAGAAGCACTTTTGCCCTCACCTCTGGATCCATCTTCCTCCACCAGCAAAATTCTTCCCCAGAGAGCATCCAGGTGCAGGACTGGCATTTCTCGGTGTACTGCTGATCTGGGAAGAACAGAAAGCTTGCATGGGCGCCCCAGAGGGCAGGCTGTGAGAAACAGCTGCTCTTCTGCCCTGCTTTCTGAAGCCATAGGGGAGCCCCAGGCAAAAGGAAAAATGTGTCCCCAGAGAAACACTAATCAAAATATCAGCCCATATTTTAGAATAAAAGTTTAGTCACCTAAACTTTTACAGTCAAAACACAAGATTAGAACATCTGATAACCAATGGCTTCCATTGCATTTGTAGTAATGTGGGGTTACAAAACAGAGCAGTTGGTGTCTATTAAAATCGTAGTTTCTGGTTTATAATAGATCTTTTTTTTGTATGTGTATAATTTTGAGAATATTGCATGAAAAAAATGGAAAATGTTGCATGAAAGCCGCCCCCCCGCCATATTGCCATTTTGGGGCAATAGTGGTGTTTGAACTCAAGGCCTTGTGCTTGCCTGGCAAGTGCCCTACCACTTGAGTCACCTCCAGCCAGGAGCTCCTTATCTTGATTACTGAGTTTTTGGCACTCCCTGTACCTTTTACAACCAAAATCATGCCTCCCCCACTTCCTCCTGGTCCAGATTGGGCTCCCTGGAGCAGTTTCAGCATTATTACCAAAGATGAACCCCCGAAAGTGGTTCCAGCAAGCACAACCTGAAATAGGTGCTCCACACACTTGATCTCATCTGAACCCACAGCAGCCCTAGGAGGAAGGGGGCTCTGTTCCGCAGGTGGAGAAACTGAGGCTCAGAGCATTGGCCTACAAATTGGCCTATGACTCCTGGCCCCGTGCTCCTCACTTCCACTCCACTGCTGCTTGACAGTCATTTTAATCACGACCTAGGCTGCAGTGAACAACGCCAGACACTAATAAATCCTGCTGTCGCATTTCTCAGCCTAGTTTTCCTTACTGATATTTCATGGCTATTGTTAATGTGCATTTTTCACTGAGTAATTTCCACAGCCCGAACTTGTAACACATCCCAATGACAAACGTCCCCAGTTCCGAGTCCCCCGTCAGCTGCAATGTCACCCTTGCCTCCTCCACGACACCTTCCGACAGCCCATCCAGTTTTATGATCGTCCTGTCCCAGCGATCACTACTGAACCTTTAAGAATCCAGACGCATTTCAAGTTTAATTGAATAAAATTCTTTGTATAATAAATTCCCCACGAATTGCTACATAAATCAGTGCCTGGAAGGATTTGTGGCTCATCCTTCCTCCAGATGGGGCTTGAGAATCTCACTAGCGGTACTGAGCCCAAGCTGGCCCTTTCTTGATCGCTGAGAGGAATAAATGTGCCATTGCAGTCCAGCTGGGATGCTGATTCACTTGACTTGGCTCTGCTTCTCTTCTCTGAGAATCCCTTGTAGAAGATTGTGTTTAAGTCCAAGTAGAACAAGGCATGGGCAAGTTGGGGGTTCAGAAATTTTGGGGGGGTGTCCCTTGTGTTCACTTGCTGCGCAGAATCAGAAACTTCTAAAGCCCTCACGTGTGATGTTTGGAATTCTGATGGAAGGTCCATGCACACTCCCCCTAGAGAGACGTGCACACGTGTTGGCAAGTTTGCAGACAGTCTTGGAAGTCTATGGAACCCCAAGATAAGAATCCCATGCAAGCTGGGCATGATGGCCCATCCCTGTGGTCCCAGCTACTCAGGAGGTTGAGGCAAGGGAATCACTTCAGCCTGGCAACATAGTAAGACCTCATCTCAGAAAACAACCTATACAACACCCTCTTTGAGGAGCTAACTGAGGCTCCATGGGGCTGCCTTCTCCAGCAGCCTCTTTTGGGAAGTTTGTATGTCCTCAGCCTTGAAGTATAAGAAGAAATTCTTGGGGCTGACAGGGAGGTCACTGGGTGACTTTGAAGCTTGTAAACTGTGGAGGGCTGTGAATGACCTCAAGCGCACAGTTCAGGGCACTGGCCTCAGCAGACCCAGGTTTGAGACCAGTCTGCCACTTCCTAGCTTTGGGACTGGGCAAGTCATTCCATGTTCCTCAGACTTGCTTCTTCTTTTATAAGTAAGAATAATCAATAGTCTCCACCCCATCGGAAGTGCTTAACAAAGTGATAGTTAGCAAGATTTAGCACCTCTTAGCAAATACTAGCTGCTATAATTTGAATTCAAATTCCAGGTTGGCCACTTGTTAACTGAGTCACCTTGAACAGCTTTAACCACTCTGAACCTTTTTTTTTTTCCTGAAATAGGATCTTATTATGTAGCCCAGGCTGACCTCACACTCAGGATTCTCCTGCCTCTGCTTTCCGTGGTCTGGGATTATAGGTGAATGCCCCACAGCTGGCAGTCTTCATCTTTTATAACTGGGAATAATAACGTCAGCTTCCAAAGGATAAATCCATGGGCCTGGATCATGGTACCAGCTTAAAAAAAAAATAATAGCTATTTTTGTGTTTTCTCCTTTGCACTTTCTAACAGCTGGGGCCAGGTGAGGCAGCCTCTAGTTTGTTAAACATCCTGCATGGGTGGGGAAATGCCATGCATGCTAGATATCCCATGGGTGGCCTCCAGAGGGGCTGGCTCCACTCGGCCAGTGACAGCACTCTAGGAAAACTGCCAGTGAAAGACAGTCACTTGGTCACTCTGAGAACAATGAGAGTAGAATGGGATCTTAGCGACCTTTGCCCCCATTTTGTGGATGGGGACACTGAGGCCCAGGCAGGAGGACTTAATAAGCGGATATTGATAATATCCACAAGGGGAGCACTGGTTATGTCCAGGAATATTTCACTTGCTATGGTTCATTTAGTTCTTTCAACTGCCCATGAAGGTAGAGCTGTTAATATTGTCACCCCCAATTTACAGATGAGAGATCCAAAGCCTGGAGAGGAAAACATGGTTTTCTGAGATCATACAGCTCTAGGAGGTGAAGCCAGGCTTTGAATTGGGGTGCTCTGCTGAGCACCAGAAGTAGCATTTACTCATTGACTGTGAGCTCACTGGTGCCAGTGTGTGTGGGGGGAAGCTCTTCCTTCTCCTCCCTCCCACCCTCCCTTCCTTTCTTCCTATTTCCTTTCTTGTTTCCCAAGTAGCTGGTGCACACTGCTGTCCCTGGCAATGCCACAACCCCACATACACTTTTAATGTGTCATTTTATTTCTCAGAACCCTACAAGGCATATACAGTTATCCTGCCATTTGAGAGGTGGGAGACTGAGGCTTAGAGGGGTCAGTTGAAGTCACTTGTTCAAAGCCACGTATGCCTACTGGGTTGATAATGATATCATCATAGGCCAATGGCAGTTTGTGAGCTCTTTGTACATGGGAAACTTTTTGTGTTGTTTTTGTTTTGATTTTTTGAGATAGAATCATGCTGGGTAACCCAAGGTGGCCTTGAACTCAAGATCCTTCAGCCTCAGCCCCCTGAGTACTGGGACTATAGGCATGCACCACTACACCCTTCCCACATGCAGTTTTTAAAACTGACATAGCTAAACCCTTGGAGAGCACCTGCCTTGTGCACTTGGCATGATTCCTGCAACAGCACCACCAAGCAGACATTAATTAGCCTCTTTGTGCCATAAACTCAGAATTGGAGGTGCAGGGAAATGACACTTTGGCTGGCGTTACTTAGCAAGAAGCCAGACTGGGGTTTGATCTGGCATCTGTCCACCTCTAGCCTGTTCTTACCACAGTGACCCCACTGCCCAGGTCTTTTTGTGAGCAGCAGAGAAGCCTGGACA